TTATTAGTTAGGTCTTCATTTACATGCGTATGGACCCTAGGATTAAAAGTTACAGTTTTTCCTTTATATTTTTTCATTTGGTTGATATGCGCAACCCTGAATACACCATTTATGGATATCAAATATCTAATTCGACTTAGTTTTTTAACCACCTTTGCATGAACCCATTTAATATAATTATTTGCAATATTTTTGTACAATACCCTTTCATTGGATTTAAAGTTTATGAGTTTACTATAATTCAGCTTTCCATTTTCAAACTTACTCAATGCTTTATCTTCTCCTCCATTTTGAAACTTACCAATTTCCAATTTATTTGTATTTTCCTTTTCCCTAAAATTTTTCTTAATTTTTGGATTTATATTATCTAACAGAGTTTTTGGTTTAAATTTAAAAATTATATCTGCTGGTGACATCCTTGTTGTCGTTGTTGGAGTAGTACGATAGCTCAAAAGAAAATTATTTATTTTAAAATCCCAAGATCTACATTTAATTTTAGGATCCAACAAATACTTTCTTAAAGCGTTTTTTACAGTTTGTACTCAACTTTCCACAGTGCCATTCGATTGCGGATGATATGGTGGCGATTTTAAACATTCGATATTATTATTAATGAAAAATTCTATAAACGCCTTTGAACTAAATGGTGGACCATTGTCCGTCACAATTTTCTTCGGAAGCCCGAAAATAGCAAAAGTAGATCTTAACGCTTCTATGACTGTAATAGCGTCAGTTTTGCGCAAAATTTTAGCTTCAAGCCATTTCGAATAAGTGTCAACAATTACTAAAATATTCAAATTTTGAAATTTACAAAAATCAGCGTGAATACGCTCAAACGGAGCACTTGTTACTTCCCAGTTGGTAAAAATTTGTTTCGACGGTTTTTGATTCATACAACATGCTTCACATGACCCGACGAACTCCTCAACTGCAGCATCTATACCCGGCCACCAAACATATGTCCTAGCAACAGCTTTCATGCGGACGATTCCGATATGACCACTATGTAACAGTTCTAATGTTTTCGGTCTCAATGACTCTGGAATTACAATCCTTTCACCATAAAAAACACACTTATCTTCAGTTGCTAACGATATTCGAATTTTAAAGTATTTTTTTAAATTATTATCAATTTTTTCTGGCCACCCATTCTTAACATATTTGTACGTTTTTAATAGTGCCACATCTTTCGACATTTCATTTTTGATGTCGTCAATCTTAATTGGAAGGTCGCCTATAAGGTTAAAAATATTAATACTATCGTCATCTTCATTTGTATCTTCTTGCAGAGGTAAACGAGACAGCGCGTCCGCATATCCCATTTGCGATCCCTTCTTGTACTTAATTGAGTAATCATACATTGATAAAAAAACAGCATATCGCTGTAACCGGTTCGCTGCTACCGATGGCAGATCTTTTTTAATTGAAAAAATTTCCCGCAATGGCTGATGGTCACTTTCAATGGTAAACGGTAACCCAAAAATATAATTATAAAATTTCTTCACTGCAAAAACTATCGCTAAAGCCTCGCGATGAAGTTGAGAGTAATTCTTTTCAGCCGGAGACAACGTACTAGATGCGAATTGAACTGAACGTTCTTCACCGTCAATAATTTGTGACAGAACGCCTCCCAAGCCATAAGGACTTGCATCGCACGAAATAATTATTGGTTTTTGTGGATCATAATGTGTTAAAACGCCAATATTCGCAATAAGTTGTTTTGATTTTTCGAATATATTTTGATGTTTTTCATTCCATATCCACGTTACATTGTTTTTAGTTAGCTCATGTAATGACGATACTTCCGCCAATAAATTAGGTATTGAATGATTATAATAATTAACCATACCCAAATACGATTTTAGTTTTGATTTATTTGTAGGCGCCGGGGCATCTAAAACTGCTTTGACTTTTTTTCTTGATGGCAATATTCCATTTTGATTAATTACGTAACCTAAATACGTTAATTCCTTTTTAAAAAATTGGCATTTTTCATAATTAATTTTTACGTTTGCCTCTAATAGTCTGTCTAAAGTTGCTTTTAAATTTTCTTCACATTCTTTCATGTTTGCTCCCCCAATTAGAAGATCATCGAAATATGAATGCACTTTATTCAATCCCTTTAAAATTTCACTTATAATTTTTGAAAAAATTTTTTGTGCCGTTTTTAAGCCATACACCATTCTAGTGTACCTATATAATCCAACATGTGTATTCACAGTTAAAAATTCTTGTGATCTTTCGGACACCTTGACTTGCAAATATGCTCCCGTCAAGTCTATTTTACAAAAATATTTCCACCCAGACAAAGTTGCCAAAATGTCGTCAATTCGCGGAATAACGTGATGCTCATTTTCTACAAATCGATTAATTGTTCTCCTGCAGTTCACACATAATCTTATGCTACCATCACCTTTATTTACTACAACTATGGGACTCGCCCATTTACTTCTGGTTGTTGGCACCATAACCCCTTTAGCACATAATCTCTGGATTTCCTCCTCTACTTTTTGTCGTACGCCAAACGGAACTGAATGCGCTTTACTGAAAATTGGATAAGCATTATCATTAAGGTCTATTTCTGCCTCATAACCAATAATGGTTGAATTGTTGTCTTTACTAAATAATTGTTTATGTTTTGTAAAATCGACTTCACAGTTTTCTTTTACGAAATTGACCAACGTTGATTCTATAAAATTTTTACGCCAATTAGGTACCAACCTATCAAGCCAATTTCTACCCAACAGAATCTTAAATGCATGTGCTGAGTCTACAACAACCATATTAAGCTAATAACATTTTCCACCGAATTTTACGCGCACTTCAACCTGACCAATCAACGCAATATTTTGACCCGTCAAGACTTTAATATTTCTTACCATCGGTTCTATTTTTATATGTTTAAATAATTTATTATAGTCAGAAATATGGCAAACAGAAACACACGCGCCGGAATCAATTTTCACATTCAATTTGTTTTGTTCAATTTCTGTTGTCCATTCTAAAGGTTCTGATTTTTCGTTTCGTAAATTGCAAAATAATTTACCGTATTTTCTTAAACTAAATAATTAACATTACGTTGGTTTTTCTGGTCCCACTTTGTTGCTCTATTTTGATATTCCCGTTTCACATTTTTATTATCATAATTTTTGTACCAGCAATTTTTCTGTATTTGCCTTGGCTTCTTACAATGATAGCAAATGTACTTATTTTTTCTACACTTTTATACCTGCGCTTACTTTTGTTTCTAAAAGCCTTGTCTAACTGTTCCCTTTGATTTACTCTGCCACGTTGATTATCGCTGATCTGTTTTACGCTGTTGGACCTCATTTGCTCTATACTATTATTCGTCATGTCCGACGACAATGCTAGCTCACATGCTCGCTCAAAGCTTTTAAGGTTCGCTTCATTTAGTAGTCTGTTCTAAATACTGCAATTATTTAACCCACAAACAAATTTGATAAGGAGAGCTTTATCGAGGAATTCTCCAAAATCGCACTCTCGTGCAAGCTGCTTCAATTCGACAATATAATCTGCAATAGTTTCACCAGTATGTTGGTCTCTTTTAAAAAATTGATAGCACTCAAAAATTATGTTTTTTGTTGGTGCAAATTGCTTTTAATTTTGCCACTATTTCTTCATATTTGAAGTCTATTTCACTTTTCGGTGCTAGCACGCTGGTCAAGGTCTTATAAAGGTCAGCGCCTCCAAGACTTATCAGAAAGGACGTCTTACTTTCGTCTTTTTCAATTTTATTTAAATTCAACAAATGACCTATACAATTAATATACAATGAAAAATCCTCACCCATTACATAATTTTCTATCGATCCAATTAATGCCACTGCCGCATTTGCCATACTGTCAGTCTCTTCTTTCACAGCTTCAGGTCTATTTTCCAAATCAATCTTTCCTTCAAGATTCATCAATTTTGTTTCCACTTATTAAATATTATAATACCTCTACGTGGTAGGCACCTTGTCGTGGTGTAGGGGCTTAGATACAACTTGAGCTATTCTGATCAATATTTCAGTCAGTGTTATCACTGATGTCACTGACTGGAATGTTGATTGAGATTAGAGCAAGAAGTGCAACCAAGATCTACCAGTAGGTTAAGGTAGAATGTGTTGTTTTGTAATCTATGTTTGTAGTGATAGTAAGTAGTTATAAATTTGTAGTTAATTTGTTGTTTGTAGTTTGTAGTTTGTAGTTTGTAACCTTGTAGTCCTTGTAGTAGTTAGTTTGTAGATAGGCTCTTTGTTTTTGCAAGCTGGCAAAGTCTGAATGGCTAAACAATACTCTAGCGTCTCAGGGAGTAGGTGGCGGTAAAGACCGTCCACTAAGTTCCAGCTTATCAGCCAGACTCGTAAGGGTAAGTGCGACAATCTCTCAGGCTGATGGGAAGCTCTTGATATGGTCATGTCTCTGCCAAGGGTGGACTGCTGATTGTCGGGCTGGGAAGAGAAAACTTCCCGGGTACGTATTTATAGTAATATTTGTTTTGATATGTGTAGCTTTCAAATTTGTACGATACCTATAAAAACCCCCAAATCTGAGGTAAACTGTTACGCCGAGGATGCTTGACTGGAGGGGTGCATCCAGTCTTTTAGTAATGAACTCAGGATACCGGGCGCTCTCCTGTTTTAATTAATGCCTTCTCAAAGTATGGGGCTCTGCTTTGGGTGACTGTTCTTTCCCTTATATTAAACACTGTATATGGATAATAAACTAAATATACCAATTAATAATATAATTACAGAGTCAGAGGAAGAAGCTCTACTCCGTTCGCCAACGAAGGTTGGAGGAAATCTTGAAAAGAGGCTTGAAGCATCTCTCAAGATTCAGGATCTGGATGATCTGAACCCATCTGCTCAGAGACCAATGGTATCAAGCGGTGGGAACACCTCTCCGGTGATTGACACCCAGAGTCCTATGGACACAGATGACCACGATGGCGGTGCGTCTAATGCTAATACCCAGAGCATGGTGAACTCAGGTGACGGCAACATAGAGACCAGGAAGAAAGCGGAATACTTCACCGGGGCTCAGAAAAGACGCATCAAGGCCATGATTAGGGATGGATTGGATTTGGAGACTGCGAAGCAGAAAGAGAGAGAGCGATACTCTCTCTACAAAACTTCCTTGGCAGCAGAAGGAGAAAGTGACAGACCCAGTACCAGCAAAAGGTGCAGATCTAATAACACATCTCCCGAAGAAACACAACGCCCGCAGCCCAAAAAGCCAAAAGCCACTCAACACACATCTAGCTCTACCGGAAACCAGCTAAAACCGACTCCATCTTACAGGGATGTAGCCAATGCTTGCAAAGTGGCTATCGCCCATGAGAAATATCCGGAGGTGAATCTCACTGGTGACCAAATGGAGTTGATAAATCGAAGCTCCTGGAAGAAATTGACAAACTTCCCAAGCACAATAGTGTCTACGGCTTCATCACCAGTGTTAACAGAGACGGATGGCTCTCATTAACATGCTGCAATGGTGAAACGAGGAACTGGCTGACCACCTGTGTCCCAAAACTCAAACCATTCCCGGATGCTATTCTCAAAGTGTTTCAGGGCGAAGAGATGCCCAAAACCTATGTGTGCATCACATTTATTCCCCCCTCTGCTGTGCTACCATCAGAAGTTCTGATGTCCCGATTGGAAAAACAAAATGGTGGCATTTGCACATCATCGTGGAGAATTCTCAGGACTGAGAAAGATAAGAATGGTGGGGAAACCGTTACGATCTCGGTGGACGAAAAATCCAAAAATTGGATAGTCGGTCAGGCAGGGAAGCTGTATCTGAACTTCACACAAATTCACGTACGTGTGAAGGGAGAGCCAACTGGACCCAAGAAACTGACGACAAAAAGGCCATTTACGACAGAGAAACCCAGTGACGTCAAGCAACAGGTGCC